CCAGGTGACAGATGAAAGCTGTGCAGTGAGAGCTGCCCGTGGTGGCGAGGGCTGGGAGGGCTCCCTGGGCTGCCTCCCTCGCTCTGCCCTGTGCAGGTGCCTCGAGTCTTCTGTCTGTGCCTGACTGAGGGATGACGTGTGTGTTGGAAGATCCCTTCTCCTGTGGTTGTTGGAAGGAAAAGAGCATTTTTCTCCCCTGAAATCACCTCTTCAATCCGAGCTGCCGCAGCCCAGGGCGTGCACGGGAGCTCAGCAGGTACTGCAGCAGCAGTGGCAGCTCTGGGGCTTCACTGCTTACCTGGTTCCTAGCAAAACACATTTTACAGGTAGTAGCAGCACCCTGTGTGACATCCCTGGCTGCAGGTGGTGTGGGAACACCTCCCCTGGCCAGGGGCACCTGCGGGTGTCTGCTGCAGCCCTCTGCTCTTGTAGCTCTTGCTGCAGTTTGGCTTCTTGTTTGGAGCTGAGGCTTCCCTCCTTGTTTGTTCTCCCTGCTCCATGGCAGTGGGTGTCCATTTCCCTGCCCCTGTGCCGTGGGTAGGCTGCAGGTGTGGACAATCTTGTTTGGGGCTCGTGCAGAGATGGTTTTCCATCTCTGAGAGAAGAAAAGGGGATTTTGCATGGCCCAATGTGACGCTCATCCGCCCTTTTCCCAGAACTGCAGAGGCAGGGAGTCATCTGTGCCATGTGTTAGCTGTTAATTTTAGCTTTACCATAACTCCTGATGACAGGGCTTGGTTGTTTCCCGCTGTAGGCAGCGTGTAGCAGTTATCCTGGAGATACGGTGTGGCTGTAAGACAGAAAAGCTGCAGCTCCTCCCTGGGCCATGGTGCTCAGTCTGTGGCAGCTGCATCCTCCCAGCTCACACAGCTGCTGCCTGCTGGAGTTGAGAGCCCACGTGGAACCATTTTTCTTGCATTTGTACTAAACCTTTGCCTTTAGGTTACACGAGGATGGCATCAGGCACAGGCTGAATTCCACTTGTGTCTGTGGACAAAGCTGGGCCAAAAGGTGGTTAAATATCTGCCATGATATGCAAGGCATTTATCAGTCTTTTCCCTACTTCTGGCTGCCTGGTGAAGTCTGTAGGAAGTAGCAGCCTGTACTGGTGTGGCCAAAAAAGCATTAGAGGATCTGATGTACAGGTCCCAAACCAAACTTGTAATGCACAGGCTGCTGCAGGGAACTCTCACAAGTACCAACAGTCTGAAAAATGGGTTGGTGCTGGTACCTTTGCTAATTATAATGCATTGCATTTGGTCTCAGGTCTGGAGCAGTCACTGAACACATGAGAAAATAGCTGTGTGATTTTCTGCTGTGCTGATACTTGTGTTTGCTGGTGTGTGAGCTGCCCAGGGAGCGCCGTGCGCTGACGGCTGTGACTGTGCCGTGCTGGAGGCTCGCCTGCCTTATGTCCAGAGATGATGTTTGTGGTGTGGTCAGGCTCAGTGGACTGCTAAAAGGTGTGGGGAGCACTGGCCATGTGCTGGAGTCCAGCATGGAGTCTCTGGGAGCTCCTTCTCTTTCCAGTAGCATCTTTGTTGATGGTCTTTTGCTCCACGGAGTGTTGGTTCAGTCTCCACTCTCCTGTCTGGTTAAACACTCTGGGAGGGTGTGAATGTACCTCCACCCCAGCCCAGGACTGCTGTGACACTGTGCTCCTGGCTCAGCCAGCCTTCATGGCAAACAATCTGTAGGAGAGCTGATGTGTTAAAGGTCTGGGGTACAGCTGGCTGCTCAGAACTGAGGTGTCAGGAGGGGCAAGGAATCATCTAAAGGCATCTGAAGAAATGTCAGGGGAAGTGTCAGAAATGAGACAACGCTTGCTCTGCAACAGAACATTCTTCACAGCTGGTTTAACAAGCCTTGGAATTAAATCTGGGAATTTCTGGGGGGAAAAGTGATGTAGCTGTTATGTCAGGGCTTCACAAGCCCGCAGTGTGCAGTCTGGGCTGTGACTGGTGGAAAAGCAGACCTGAGCAGCCATGTAATCAGGGCTTTTCCTAGGCAGCTATGAGCTCACACTAAACTCACACTGCAGCTGCAGATATATTTTCCAAAATACACTTTTGGAATTTTACATTCGCTTTTTTAGTATGCTAATCATCTCTGTGGTCATTCATTCCTGGAGTTAATGAGTACTCTTGGAGAAAACAAGTTAACAAACTGACAGCTGCTCCTAACAAATCACTCGCTTGGAGAGGCCAGTGCAAGTTTAACATCCACAATAAATCCTTCTTTTGCTTGTGATGGTTCAGTGCAGCAATGGCAAAGAAATGAGGTAATAACTTTCATTTATCAAAGCAGTTTGGACTGTAGTAGATTTGTGCACAAGAGCTCAGAGACAGAATTGCCAGAGTTACAGACTGTGGATTCCTGCTCTTCTTTGAGTAGCTTTAAGCAGGAAGTAGATGGGACAGCGCAGCTCTCTTGGTGTAACCTGTCAGATAATCAACAGCTGCCAGGGCTGGCGTGGAAAGGTGGGCAAGGAGTGCCCAGGGGCTGGGGGGCTCTGAAGGGGCTTCCTCTGTCCCCAGGTGCTGAGATGGCAGCAGCTGGTGCAGCTGTGTCCCTGTTCTGTGCAGCCCCTCCTGCCCCAGGCTCCTGCAGGGACAGCCAGAGGAGCCCTGGGCAGGAGTGAGGAGCTCATCCCCTCTTCAGTCAGTGTCTGCAGGGACCCACAGCCATCTTTGCTCAGGTAACTCAGGGCAAATAGAAGTTGTTTTCTATAACGTTTGCTTACAAATAAATGAACAGACTCAGCAGCCTTGGATAAGGCAACCAATGTTCTGAACTTCCCATTTCTTGTGTCAGGGCTGAGCTCACCCAAGGACTGGCATTTTCTTAACAAGTTTGTAATGAACTGATGGATCTGAATGGCAGCTAGTTTGTCTCAATAGGTCTAGCTTGGGTAATCTTAGAGTTTTAACAGTCTAGCTGTTGATCTTAGAGTTTTTGCTTCCCTAAATTTCTGAAATCAGGTTTAAGATTTTTAAAAAATATTAATTGATGTCTTGGGTTTTAAATTTATCATGTCATTTGACAAATAGTCTAAAATGGCAACATTGTGCCAGGATGTTGAGCTAGCTAAATGAAAATATCCCTTCATGACATGAAATGAGGGAGTTAAAGGTATAAACACCAATAAACCCTGTGATTTAATGAATGGTCTTTCCATTTCAGTATTGGAATTTATAGTATAGGAAAAATACTTTTTCGCACTTGCCAGTGTCCCAGTTAATCTGATCACACTCCACAGCTCATACTGATGGCTGTGTTGATACTGCTCTGAACTGAAGCAGGTCAGTTTTAGAAAGGGTGTGTTGTACAGGGGTGGTGTGGTCAGACTTTGATGGTGGGGTGGCTTTGTGAGGAGCTGCCAGACCTGTGGTCCTGTGGAGAGAGGAGCCCAAGCTGGAACAGCTTTGGTTTGCTGGCAGGACCTGTGACCCCACAGGGACCCAGAGCAGCTCCTGAAGGACTGACTGCAGCCCATGGGATGGACCAGGCTGGAGCAGCTCCTGAAGGACTGACTGCAGCCCATGGGAAGGACCAGGCTGGAGAAGTTCATGGAGGGATGTCTCCCTGAACAAGAGAGGGATACCTGTTCATAATATGCTCATCTCCCCAAAAAGAAATTGCATTTTTATTTTGCCTGTACTTATATAGAATGTTCACAGCACAGCAGAGAAGAATTCTGGAAGATAAAAGCCTGTTTTGCACTTCTGCAGTTCCTAAGTCCTTAGGTGTATTAGCAGTTTTGCTGTTGCCAATGATTAATGCTAAGATTGCACTTGTAGAAATAGAGCCCCAAACAACAGCATTTTTTTTAGAGTTGTTTGAAGCAAAAAAAAACAATCTTCATTTTTATTTTCTACTGTAGTATTTAAAAAATACCACCAGCCTTGTCTTGATGGACTGTCCTGCTAGAATTGAATAGAGGCTTGTGAACATCTCAGAAGAACTTAAAAATCAGTAGTCCCATTTGTGTGACAGAAGGACATGGATTCCCCTGAATTTAAGTTCTTCTTCAGAGGGATACAAAACCAAAGTAATCCTTGAGTTAATTCCCTTCCTTGGTTTGAATTTGGAGAGGTTATGTATAGGTAGAAATATATGCACCGGCAAAAGACTTTAAAAAAAAAAAAACTTTGAGGAAATAGCTTTAAACACTCCCCAAAACCAAACTATCCCCCAAAAAAACCCTCTTTATAGAGCCTACTGAGATCATTACCTTCCCTGTGAGTTTGCCATGTGCAGCGCTGATCTCTGACTTGTTTGCTCCTGGTGCTTTGGTCTCCTGAGGATTCCATGGAAGTCATCCCTGGCATCAGTAAAGGTGAATTTCTGAGCCCACTGAAGCACAGCCGTGAGCCTGAATTTCTGTCCTGAGACCAAAAGGAAGGCAGAGGCTTTGCTGTTGGCTGTGGGAAGGTGCCAGGTTGTGGTTATGAGGTTACATCCTCTGTTCATGAAACAATTACTAAATGTGACTGACAGATCCATTTTCCCAGTGGCTTTCACTGCAGACAAACATACTTGATATTGTGTTTGTGGAGAGGGCCAAGGAGAAATCTTTCAGGCTTGGACTGAGTTGTTTTATCAGTGTCTGTTGAATGTCATGTGGTGGAGCAGTTTGCTGTGAAGGTCTCACTAAATGATTTCTTGGACTGGCAGGGTTGTTTGTAGGGAGTGCATGGATTTCTCTGTCCTTCCTGGCTGCACCTGCCTCCTCTGGGTTTCTGTCTGTAGCCAGCCTCAGTCTCCCTGCATTGAAACACCAGCAGAGGCTTGGCCCCCCCTTCATTTTGGGTGAATTTCCATGCATTTGTTTCTCTGCAGCCGCCTGCTGCTCTCTTGGGTACTTGAATCTATTCAGGGTGAGGAGCTCATTGATTTAGGGCCTGATGGGGGTATCATGAGTGCTGTGAATCGGCAGCCTGGAGCTGTTTTTAGGAGCTGTGGAGGATTTTAACTTCGATTCTCTTTCTGCTTTGTAGGTATTTGTATAAAATGTGGAAAAGGTGTGTATGGAGCGAGCCAGGCTTGCCAAGCAATGGGTAACCTCTATCATACCAACTGCTTCACGTGCTGCTCTTGTGGTAAGTCAGATCTGCCGTGCCCTTCTTCTGTGGCTTCCTTTAGCAACCAGTGCACAAAGTGAGACCTCATCCTGCTGCTTCCCCAGGCAAAATTCCCACGCAGGGCTCCAGCTTTAAAAGTTGTTTTTTTATTTGCCATCTGTAAGTGCTCAGTGGTGTTTTCCTAAGCAGCAGCCCAGAAAAGTAGTGTTTGGTTGTTTGAAGGGCTGCATTTACAAAATGGCTTCAACCTGGCTGGTAGAAGCACTATGTGCTTTAAATCACTTGTGTTTATGGAACTGTAATGTGCATGTATCATTTTTATAGAAAAAAAAGGTAAAATTTGTTCAGCCAAAACCATATTTTTGTCACTATTTGCAAATGAAAGTCTAGTCAGGCATGTGTATTTCTCATTTCTGTGTATGCACAGTGCTCAGAAATTGTTCACTTATGGTTGAATGTGACAAGAACAAATAGAAACTGTGTGTTGAAATGTCTTATGCTATTACAAGATTTTATTTTTGTGGGGGAAAACTAGACGATAAATCACTGTTTCCTCCTTGTTCCCAGGACCTTTTTAGGTTTCCCTTTTAATCTGAAAGAGGTGTTTCTGTGTGTGATTTGGGGAAGTCCTGGCTTTGCCAGGGGAAATGGAAAATTCAGGGCAGCATTTTCAGAAGTGTGCCTTAAGTCAGGCATTATGAATTTAAGTTGAAAACTTCCTCAGTGTCTTGTCTGTAACTGCTGAGAGCTCACAAATTCCCACCAAGCTTAAGGGAAGTGTGAGAGCTCAATTTTCAGGAGTCAGGTGATTTTTCTTGTTTTATGCACCCATCTAGTGAAGTTCTTTATATATGAAAATGTTTGCCTGGATATTGAAGATCTTGTTATGATATATATATATATATACACAGCAAAAAATTTATTCTGAGCAGAATGTGCTGAGCACAGATTGTTTATAAAAAGGATTAATTAAGGATTAGAAAAAGAGTAAAATATTATTGGCATAGAACCAAATAAGTTGATGGTCAGAAGAACATTGTAAATTTCACCGCTCACAGGAGAAGTGTTTTTTCTCCTGAGGTTTGTACTGATAAATATTGGTTTAAAGAAACCTTCAACCTGAATGTAGAGTTTATTGACCTGTCTGAATGACTCTGGACCATTACCAGATGTGGGGCTGAGCTCATCTGAAAGCCTCAGGGATGGCTGGTGACTTTGCTCAGCTCTGACAGTGAGTAGCTGTTCTGTTGGCTCCCAAAGTGAGCAGCATCCTGCTTAGCAGAGGATTACAAAATAGAATATCAGATAATGTCTATCCACAGCATTAACCCAACCTAATTGCATGGGTGAATTCCAGTTTCCTCTCTGGGGCAGAAATGTTGGTTTTAAGTACTCGGGTTTCATGTTTGCTACCACGGGGTTCTCTATGCAGGTCACTGTTCCTTAGAAAAATGTATAAGGGACAATAAGTGTATTTTAACAGCAAAATACAAACACAATTCAATTATTTAAACACTTAACAAGCTTTTCTGACTGTTGTGGAGAGGTGTGTGTGGCCTGTATTCACCCACCACAGGGCAATTTGAGACATGTCCACTTGAAGCACTGTTTGCCCCACCCTTCAGTGCCCTGGAATTTGGTGATTCAGGCAGCTTCCCATGAGTCACCCCATGCACAGGGAGATGCTCCAGGTTGTCTTCTGAGCCTCTCACTGTGCTGCTCTGGGCTGAAGGGCCCTCCAGGATGGTTCACCAGTGAGAAGGACTGGGATTTCCTTCTGTTTGCAGCCTCTGGTACAAGCCTGGCTGGGAGGGGAGTGTTTGGGCACTTCCTTAGGCAGGCACTGGAGAGGGGCTGTGCTGCTGCTGGGGCAGGGCTGAGGGCAGCTAAAACACCTCAGCAAAGCTCAGCTTCACCTGTGTTCAAGGGTGAGCCCAAAACAGAGCTTTTTCTCTCATCTCTGAAATAGGATCAACGTGAGAGTAGCTAAACTCTTTAATTTCTCACTGTATTTTGGGCTGTGCAACCCATGGAGAACCCAGAGTGGTTCAGGACAGTGCCAGTAGATCCAGACCCTGGGACCAAGGCATGCAGGTCCTGTCTGTGGGAAATGCACCCTTGAGAATGGTGCTGAAAAGGCTTTACAGGAGCTCATGGGCAAGGAACCAAATGGAGACTTCTCACAGGACTGCAGCTGATGAACAGGGAGCTCCTTTTGTGACACTGCTGGGACCTGTGTGAGAATCCTGAGCTGTAGGTCTGATGCCCACCTTTAAACGGATGAAAGTAACCAGGGAGGGCCCAGAAGAACTTAAATAGATGATTAAAGGCTGGAGAAAAGCTAATCACGACAGCCCAGTGTATTTTGGGTATCTGAAATTATGGGAGGGACATGTGGCTGGAACTTGTAAGTACAAGAGGCATAAAACAGCATTAGAAAGTGGTGTCATTTGTACTAGAGACAAACACAAGAGAGATCTTTCCTGGAGGCTGAAATTACACAATTCAAATAGGAAATCAAAGACAGTTTTTCTACAATGAGGATGATTAACTGCTAGAACAAAATAACAAGAGAAGTGGAAGATTCTCTGTTCATCTTTGTTTTCAAATTAAGACCAAATGTCTCTTTGGAGAATGTTTTAAGTTGAGCCAAGCTTTAGGTAATTGGGTGATCATTAATGATCTTTGTTAGGCAAGGGGTCACAGCACACACTGGTGCTCCTTGTGAGCCTTTGACAGGAGAGTAGAGAAGTCCATTGGTTCTCTCTGCCTAAACCAGTGTCTATGCTGTAGTTCCTGTACATGTGGTTGGCCCTGGCTGGACACCAGGTGCCCACCAAAGCCACTCCATCCCTGCCCTCCCCAGCTGGATGGGGAGAGGAAATACAAGGAAGGGTTTGTGAGTTGAGATCAGGGCAGGGAGAGCTCCCTCACCAGTTACTGACACAGCAAAGCAAAAAAATCCATTAACAACCAAATCAGAGTAGGATAATGGCAAATAAAAACTAAACCTTAAAACCCTTCTCCTCACCCCTCCTTTCCTCCTGGGTTTAACTTTACTCCCAGCTTTCTCCACCTCTCCCCCAGTGGTGCAGGGGGACGGGGAATGGGGGCTGTGCTCAGCTCATCCCAGGTTGTCTCTGCTGCTCCTTCCTCCTCAGGGGAAGGGCTCCTCACACTCTTCCTGTGCTCCAGTGTGGGGTCCTTCCCACAGGAGACAGTGAGCTCCATGAGCTGCTCCAGCCTGGTCCATCCCATGGGCTGCAGTCAGTCCTTCAGGAGCTGCTCCAGCCTGGTCCATCCCATGGGCTGCAGTCAGTCCTTCAGGAGCTGCTCCAGCCTGGTCCATCCCATGGGCTGCAGTCAGTCCTTCAGGAGCTGCTCCAGCCTGGTCCATCCCATGGGCTGCAGTCAGTCCTTCAGGAGCTGCTCCAGCCTGGTCCATCCCATGGGCTGCAGTCAGTCCTTCAGGAGCTGCTCCAGCCTGGTCCATCCCATGGGCTGCAGTCAGTCCTTCAGGAGCTGCTCTGGGTCCCTGTGGGGTCACAGGTCCTGCCAGCAAACCAAAGCTGTTCCAGCTTGGGCTCCTCTCTCCACAGGTCCTGCCAGGAGCTGCTCCAGTGTGGGGTTCTGGGGGTCACAGCCTCCTTCAGGCACCCCCTGCTCCCTTGTGGGGCTCTCCAGGGCTGCAGGGGGGTCTCTGATCCATCCTGGAGCCCGTGGGCTGCAGGAGCACAGCTGCCTCTGCCCAGGCTGGGGGAACCTGAGCTCCAGCTCCTGGAGCAGCTCCTGCCCCTCATGCCCTGCCCTGGGGGTTTGCAGAGCTGCTCCTCTCACACATCCTCACTCCTCTCACCAGCTGCAATTCCAGGGGGATTTCTCCCCTTTCCTAAAGGCTCCCCAGAGGTGCTGCCACTGTCACCCATGGGCCCAGCCTTGGCCGGGGCCGGTCCATCCTGGAGCCGTCTGGAATTGGCTCTGCTGGACACAGGGGGAAGCTTCTGGCAGCTCCTCACAAAGCCACCCCAGAACTAAAGCCTGGCCATGCCAGCCCAGTGCAAATTCGAAATGTGAGAATAAGAGCATGAGATTGCCTGGTTTTTTAGTCTGTCTTTTTTAACTCAAGTAACAAGAATGATCTGAGCTCACCTTCAGCAGTTTTCAGTTTTACTTTCAATAGAATGGCTGTAGAAAATAAAAGGCAGTTACTGAAAAACAATACTTTTGCACCTGAAGATATCTGATTTAGATAAAGGCTCAATATTTAACCAGCTACAATTAAAAAATAAATAAAATAATATTTCAAACCCTTGGGAAAAGTTGTGGTTTGGAGACCACTCAGGCTGAAATGTGATAATGAATGGTGGAGCCTCCAAGGCCTCATTTCATCACTTGGCAATGAGTGTTTTAAATTCTGCAAAGACAAGTGCAGTTGTGCAGAGAAGTGGAAATTCTGCCTGAGTCAGAGCCCTTTCTTAGACACTTCTTTGAGTTCTTTCAGTGCCAGGTGCCATCTGTCAGGGGGTCCTGGTTGAAGGGGGCAGCGTGTCCCCTCCTGTGCCTTCCTGGGAGCTCCAGTGCTGTCCTTTCCTGCTCCCACCCTTGTTTATCACATCACTGTTGGGGCTTTCTGTTGCTTGTAATTAAGAGGAAATCCAGAAACAGACTCTCAGCCGTGGGCATCTCCCTGGGGGCTCCAGGCTTGCCAGTGTAGAGGTGTGAGGATGGAATGGGGGTTATTGGGGTCTTCTGCAGTGAGGGTGGTTCCCTCCTTGAGGACATGAATGCAGAAAGATGAGAAAGTATTTCAGTAAATAAACAGGAGATTTCTGTCCCTTCTAGACATTTTGGTAAAATGCTCAGATGGTAAATCTCTTAATTGTCTTCCTAGGTTCTGGCAACTTCGGGGAAAAACCCTCAGTAATGCATTGATTCAGAGTTGTATGGGATCTCCTCAAAAAAAGGACTCAGCACCAGTAAGCTGAGATTGAAGTTAAAATGGAAAGGAAGAGTAGATT